GAGGAAATACAAAATCAGAAAAAGGTGAAGCTAGCACCCATTAATTCCGAGTGCTTCTTTATAGATACTTGGATCGCGTAGACCATCGGTAGAGGTCGGACACTTTGATGGCTTTGTTGGAAAAGAGTTTAGGTCTGTACTACAAGAGGTAATCCTTTACTTATAGCTTATAATTCATGTATGTATGGTTAGTAGATTCAAGGGGCTTTAGATGGAGGAAAATTCTTATTTATTCCACACCTCCATAGGATGCATGATCCTTCAATTGGTATCCGAGCCTCCACTCGAATCTTTGATTGTATGATTGGTTAATTATGATTAACTACATGAATTAGCTATGTTTGATTATAAATCTTATGTTTTTGGTATTTTATATAAATAAGAAACTGAAATTTTGGGTCAAAATCAATAAGAGCATGCAAGGTCGATGTTAGACATCAACACTCGCAAGTGTGGCAGCCTACCGCCAGCAGTGCGATGGGCATGCTCTAAGCGACTTGCCGGCCTACCGTGCGGCGTGCTAAGCACCCGCCAAGCGACCGGTTGGCTCCGCGAGCCATGCACTAAGCGTGTGGCGGATTGTCCTCGTGCTAGGCATGCGACAAACTAGTCATGCACTAGGTGGGTGCTCCGGGCGTGCTCGGTCGGCCAACCTTCGTGCCGGGCACGCGATAGTGGCCTACTTGCTTACGCGCTAGGAACACGGGCAACACAGGCAGGCCACTAGCCGGGTGCTTTCGTGCTAGGCCAATAGCCACGGAAAAATGCACACGAACCCAAGGGTTTGGGCTTCGAAACCCGTGAACCCTCGAGACCCAAAAGCCTATGAGCCCAAAGTGGGCTTAAGGCCCAAAAAGTTTTAAAATTAAAACCGAGAAATTTTGATAAATTTATAAAATGACTAAAACTATAGATTTATAATCATTTTATGAATGAAATTATTTCATTAGTATGCCATGTATCAATGTGATTGAAGCATGGGTGAATGGCATAGATGAGTCGACCTAGTTTTATGAATGCTTAGTATTTTTTAGATAAATATGACATGCGTGTCTTACCTTCTCTATTACTCTATTGTATTTCTTTTTTCATCTTACTCCCCTTGAATATAACTCGAGGTTTCTTATTTCAAATAAATGTAAAAGTAGTAGATAGGGATTAGAATAGATACAAGGAGAAGACGCCAAGGAATAAAGACATTCATGAAAAATTTGTAATAATTTTTTACATAGGAATTGACCCATTAGTCTCATTGTGACTCGAGGGGGCTAGTATTAGAAACATATTACCGTTCATCGAGTCTTTGAGTTATGCATGAGATGTATGAATATGATGAGATAAATGTTAATATGCATGATTAAGAATAATATGATTATTGTTTAGTATGCATGCTAGGATGAGACCAACCTTATTAAATCATTGAAATAAAATATTAAGTTAAATACTTTCTAACATTATAAGGTGAAAACTCTCTTGGTCGTTGTTGGCTTGTTAAGACAACTCAAGGTCATATCTTTCTTAAGAAAAACAAATCATAGACCATGCGATGATCTTGAACGTTGGGTCTAACTTAAATGAGTTATTGGGTTTTTTGAGATAACTCAAGGTCCAATAAACTTGTAAGCAATAATTGATATTCATATAAGATGTGACAAGGACAACAAGTTGTCATACCAATAAAATTAGGAATTACAATAGATGTAATTGGTAAGGAGTTACCTACCTAATCCTTTATATATGGCTTATTGAGATAACTCAAAGCTAATGCATGTTAGAGGATGGGATCCAAACACACTAAGAAAATGAATCAAAAAGTTTTCTGGAGTACTATATTGAAGGTTATATAACTTGAAGAAAATAGTGAAAGCAAATATAGATTTTACTTCTTTAATTTATGCTTTGTTTTATGCAATTTAATTAACCAAACTATATGCTTTTCTACACTATCAAGGTTGTTACATAGTATGATCGGCAACACGTCGATGAGATCGATGACTAATGGAAGGAATGCCTTAAATGACATAAACTTCCTTGACTGGAAAATGAATGAGAGAATGTCCTCTAACATGGAGAAATGCTCCATGCGATAGATGATAAAGAGCACCATGAAGGGGTGCAAGAAAAGATTTCTCGATGTACCTCAAGTATTCATGTTATTAAAGTAAATTTTTCTACTTCTAGTCCAACATCATGGGTATTTGATACTCGGATGTGCCGTACATATTTGCACAAACTTAAGAGGACTAAAAGAGGCTAGAAAGATCGCTTCGGTGAGGTTGACTTACGCGTGAGTAATGGTTCAAGACCATTAGTGATAGGCACCTACAAGTTAGCACTACCATCTAGACTTATGCTTATACTCAAAAATCGTTATTATATTCCTAGTATAACTAGGAATATCATTTCCATTTCTTGTTTGGACCAAGATGGTTTTTTGTTTTTATTTAAGAAAAAAAAGTTGTTCCTTTTGTAAAGATAATGTTTTATATGGAAGTGCTGATGTGAATAACGGTTTATATGTTTTAAACATAAACACACAAGTGTATAACATAAATACAAACGAGACTCAAAACTAATGATCTAAATAAAACATATCTATGGCATTGTCGACTTGGCCATATAAACGAAAATCGCATATCCAAGCTACATAAGAATGGATATTTAGAATCATTTGATTATGAATCTTATGATGTCTATGAATCCTATTTGCTTGACAAATTAACAAAATCCACTTTTAGGAAAAAAGGAGAAAAAGTCGCTGATTTGTTAGGCCTTATACATAGTAATGTATGTGAGCCCATGTCCACCCAAGCTAGAGGAGGATATGATTATTTCATAACCTTTACTAATGAGAGATCGTGTTTTGGTTATATGTATCTCATGTGACAAAAATCAAGTCTTTAAAATGTTCAAAGAATTTAGGTTTGAAGTCGAAAAATAAACTAGCAAAACTATTAAGGCACTTCGATTAGATTAAGATGGAGAGTACTTAAGCATTGAATTTTTAGATCATTTAAAAGAGAATGAGATTCTCTCATAATGGACCCCACCCGGAACACCACAAATGAATGGTGTGCCCAAAAGGAGAAATAGGACACTATTAGATATGGTCCGATCTATAACCCTCGTAAAATTTGTAACCGTATAAGTATATGTATCGAGATATTTATATTCGTACGTATATATATAGTATATCGGTTACATACGTGAAAATCACGTAACCGTGTCAAAATATGTACTCGAATATGTGGTATGTACGTATTTGTTGAGAGTAACCGGTGTACGTAAATATTTAGGCGTAATAATTTTGGATGAATTAATTAGTAAATCCCTTGTAATGTGATAATTGCCAAACATTTTGGGTGGAAATTTTTGGAAACATAACTAAATAAATTACCCTCAAATTAATCATAATTTAAGCCTCATTTACATTTCATCTTACCTCAAGCTATTGACACTTGGCTTGCTCAATAATTGGGAGAGAAAATATGAGATATTTAAGCAAGGAAATGGATAAGGATGCTCTTATTTTTGGTGCATCCCATTACTTACCCTAAAGAAAGAAAGAAAAAGTGAAAGAGAAAGGAGAAAGGGAGAAAAACAGGAAGAAGAAGAAGGGGAAAAGAAAGGAAAAAGAAAAGGAAACTAAAACGAAGCCAAAGATATTTTAGGAAAGTTTAATCCAATGTAAAGTAGGTTTCATTTTTTTTTTTTTTTTTTGCTTTGTTTATGCTTTCCATGTTTATTTTATGAGTTTTTTAATTCATGTAAAATGTGATTATGGTATTTTATGATGATTTTAAACACTTGATGTTTGATGATGCATCGTTATGCATATGTAATGAGAAATGTGCTTTAAGAGAAGATTTCTGAATTTTAGGGGTGGAAAAACCCGAACTTGGTGTGATTTATTTCGGGATCTTAGAGTGATTTTTAGGAACCATACAAAGAATGAAAGTTGTTGATCTATGTATCTAATATATCTCTTTAAACTTTTATGACTTTTAAAAATATATATATGGTGTTATGACTGACTTGGTATGGATCGTTCGAATGGACCACCTACTGGAAAAATATTTCATTTTGAAAGTTGTGTGATTTATTTCGAGATCATAGAGTGGTTTCTGGGCAGAAATCAAAGAAGGAAAGTTGTTCATCTATGTGTCTACTAGATGTATATAACATTTTGTAATTTTTAGATCTATATGTAAGGATTTATGACTGATTTGGTACGGATCGTTTGAAAGGACCACCTACTGAAAAAAATTATTTAGTTTTGAAACTTGTGTGATTTATTTAAGGGTTTTAGAATGCTTTTTGGAGAAAACTTAAAGAATTAAAGTTTTTGATCTGCGTGTCTATTATCGTTCCTTAAAATTTTGTGATTTTTAGATATATATTTAAGGACTTATGGCCGATTTGGTATAGGTTGTTTAGGTGTACCATCGCTGAAAAATTTTTAACCTAAACCAAATGGGTTTAGACCAAAATAAAAAGGGGTTTGGATTCCATTAAATGGACTTCAGAAAAATGAGATAGGCTTGGATTTAAAAATAAAGTGGACTTAGATTAAAACAAATGGACTTGGGCTTGGATTAAAATAAATGGGCTTGGATTAATATTAATGGGCTTGGACTTAAATAAAATAAACTTGGCAATGGACTTGGACTTAAAAATAAAGTGGACTTAGATTAAAACAAATGGACTCGAGCTTGGATTAAAATAAATAGGCTTGGATTAATGTTATTGGGCTTGGACTTACCCCCGTTTGGATAGGGATGAAAGTAGGGGAGAGGAAAGAAAATAGGGTGGAAATGAAAGTTTTCCCCGTTTGGATTGTAGAGGAAAGCAAGTGGAAAGAAAAAAAAATATTAAATAAACCTATAAATGGTGGGACCCATTTTCCTCCCAAAATTAGGAGGAAAACGAGAGAAAAACTGGAGAGAAACCCGAGAAATCATCAAAAATTTTCTCATTCTCAATTTTGCCCTCCATCCGCCTCATCGTCCCTCTCCTTTTCTCACTCTCTCGCTTCCATTGATTTTGAGTTTTGGGGCTGAAATCATCAAATTCTCATCTTCACTTCTAAACAACAAATACCCAATTGCCAATCCTAAAACAACTACCAAGAACACCCCCGCATTAAACGACATGACGGCCAACATCAACAAATACCCAATCCTTGAATTTATCCCAAAAAGTACAGACTCCTCCCACTCTCACCGTCGACCACCTCCCTTTCCCCCCACCATCCATCGTCCGAAGCGGCAGCTCTTTGATCATAGCCGAAGGTGATGAATTTGATTTCGCAAAGGCACTCGCATATGAGTTTGAGTCGCGAGCGGTGGATCTCCAGTGCCGGTAGAAGATGGAAGTGATGAGACAAGCGAATAAGGAGAGTGAGTAACCGAGCCATGTCTTTATGTGCCATGAGTTGATCAAGATCGTCACCTCACGACCCCAGTAGAAAGTCATGTGCATCATGATTGCCGACTTAATGAGTTGTAGATAGAGAGAAAAGGGTCGAGTTTAGTGAGAGAGGAAACCGGGGAGAATCGGATAATTATCATTTACGAGTGGGCCGGGTCGGAGGGAAGGGGAGGAGTATAAAAGGAGGAAAACCGTAGTAATTTATGTACCCCTTGTTTGCAAAGGAGCTAGTACGCTTTATTGATTCGTACGGTAATTTTGGATTACGAGTTTGCCCAATTATTACTCGAAAACATCGATTGCTTAACATTCTAATAACACTATAACTTAAATTGAGTAAATAGTTGTGTTTATGAAATTACTAAGTACCGACTATCTTTTTTCATGTGATACAATTATCCATCTTGTATAGATTTTAGATTTCTTTTGTATTGTAAATGTAATTAGTAATTATTAATCATAATGATAGAGACTTATTCTAATAAATTTATTAACTACAATTGAAATGAATATAAAAATATTGTTTATTTTAACATTACTATTAAGTATTGAGAAGTACTATCTTTTTTCATGTGATAAAATATCCCTCAAAACGACTCCTCGAACAATTTTTGAAGTTACCGCAAAAGAAGAAATAAAAATTATTTGTGATTTATCTCATTTTTTGTGATTCAATTGACTTTCCATGATTGTTCGCAATGTTATAATATACTCTTTTGTTTTTAATTGCTAAATAGTAATTTTTTATTCTAAAAAAAGTAGAGAAAATGATGGATAAAAGCAACTAACTTATTATATGCATAGATAAGAATACATGTTGTACATATTTAAATTAATTTTATGTTGATAATTAATCTAAATTGGCTATTGAATTAATTAATAAATAAACAATTATCGATTATTCTATGTAGACAATTCATTATCCATCTTATCATTTCGTATAAATGCTATATGTTAGATTTTTATATTATTATTATTTGTGTTATTTTCATAAAAAAATATTCATACAAATTTATTATAAGTATTTAAATATAAAAATATAAGCATAGGGGTATTATAGTAAATATATAATAATACATTTTCTTTCCTCTCTCTTTTTATAATTATCCAAACAAGGGAAATGTATTTTCTTTCCTTTCCTTTCAACTCTTATCCAAACAACAAGTGGAAAATGATTTTCTTTCCTCCCTCTTTTCTTTTCTCTCACTTTCTTTCCTCTCTTTTCTTTCCTCCCAAGAGGAATTATCCAAACAAGGGGTTAAATAAAATAAACATGGCAATGGACTTGGACTAAAATCAAAAGGCTTGGTTTTAAAGTAGATGGGCTTAGACTAACGTAAATGAGCTTAGACTAAAATAAGTGGACTTAGATAGAAATAAAAAGGATTTGAAAATTTTAAAGAAAATTTATTCTTTCATATAGGAAATAAAAAAAAGAATTGGATCTTTTTTTAATTATTAATGAGACTAATGAATAATATTAATGAGCGAAGGTTGTGTTCCCGCTATGAGTACCATGATTGGTATGTGAGCGTCGGATGAATCCCGAATGGTGGTTGGACCATGAGTATGGCTTCGAGAAAGAAGGATTGGTGCTCGAGTTTGGTTGAATGTGATTAAATATGTCATCACGTGCATCATGTGCATTGGGGGTGGAAATAAATTGAGAAAAATCATTGAGTCTTGAATTGACACGGTTGGTAATCGAATTGAGTGGAATGGGTAATAGTAAGGAATCCATAGTGCGAGCTCTATTTATTAACACCGTTAAGCGAGGGATAATTCCGCTAACCGTGTGTTACAATGAGGGATAATTCCGTTGTGAGCAGTAGGTGATATTGAGATCACCGAGAGAAAGTAATAGAGCAAGTAGGTGATAACACGATCATCGAGAGATTGGGTGCACGGACTTACATATACCTGTGGTATCCGGATTAAAATGGATGAAAATGTGAAAAACACAATAGCATTTCATATCACGTGCATCACCCTACTTACTAAGCTTTGGCTCATTCTCGTTATTGTATTTGTGTTTTGTTCGAGCAAGGGCAAACTTAAGCCGATCGAGGATGCTACCGGTTCGCGCTAAAAGAGGCTCATGTGTCACTCATAAAAATAGGAATATCTTTTGTGTCAATAAAAAGGGGTATGTGCCTAGTTTATAAATTTTTAGGCATTTTGAATATTTTATAAATTATAGAACTATATGTAATAATGTTGTAAATTATATCATGTGTTTCTCACGGTTTAGTTGTCTATGTATTCTGTTGTGTATGATGGAGGAAGTAGGGGACTTAGTCCCAACAAGTGTGTCACGCCGGTCACGCTTGTTAGGTAATAGGAAAAGGAGCCGAAGGCGTCACATGATCCATAATAAGTCAAACTAATATCCCAATATCATTTTAGGGATATGTGCACCTTACCGTAATATTTATTTTGAACCGAGTTCCAACAAAGTCTCTTGATCGGACTTCATATGAGATATGAAAAAAGAAAGAAAACAAATTTATCTTTTCTTAAAATTTAGGACTCGTGAAGCATATGTCAAACATTTAGATGAAGACAAGCATTAGCCTAAATTAATAAAGTATAAATTCATCGAATATCCAAAAGAAACAAATGGATATTACTTTTACCAACCACAAGAACAAAAAGTTTTTATCGTTAGACATGTTGTATTCCTTGAGAAGGAATTTATAGATGCTAGGACCATTGAGAGGAAAGTTGAACTCGATGAGATTCGAGAAGACTCATAAATTGACACCGCATTAGATGAACCCCAAGTAGAAAAGTTACAAAGCGTTGTAACCGTTCCACAAACCAATACACAAGAACTTCGTAGGTCTAAGAGGATTCGTCAAGAGCCGGAAAGATATGACCTTTTAGTCTCAATGCATAGAGATGTTTCTATCATACGAAACGATGAACCAAATACCTATGAAGAAGCAATCTTAGACATTGACTTCAAAAAATGGCATGAGGCCATGAAATCCGAAATGAAATCCATGTACACTAACCAAGTATGCACTTTGGTTGATCCCCCGAAGGTGTTAAACCTATTGGGTGTAAGTAAGTCTTTAAAAGAAAGACCGACATGGATGGACATGTACACACGTACAAAGCTAGATTGGTGGCTAAAGGATATCGTCAAAAGCAAGGTGTTGATTATGATGAAACTTTCTCACCAGCTTGCAATTGTTAAATCCATTTGGATTTTACTCACAATTACCGCATATCACGATTATGAGATATGGCATATGGATGTCAAAACTCGCTTTTCTTAATGGAAAATTAAATGAGAATGTGTACATGATACAACCCGATGGTTTTGTCACCAAAGGACATGCAAATAAAATTTGTAAATTACAAAGGTCCATTTATGGACTTAAGCAAGCATCTAGGAGTTGGAATCAACATTCCTTAATGAAAAATTAAATAAGAATGTGTACATGACACAACTTGATGGTTTTGTCACCAAAAGAAATACAAATAAAATTTATAAATTACAAAGGTCCATTTATGGACTTAAGCAAGCATCTAGGAGTTAGAATCAACGTTTCGATGTAACGATCAAAGAGTTTGATTTTTCACAAAATGAAGATGAACCTTGTGTATACAAAAAGATTAGTGGGAGCTCAATTGTATTTTTTGTACTATATGTAGATGACATTCTACTTATAGGCAATAATACCACCATGTTACAATCCGTAAAAGATTGGCTATCTAAGAATTTCTCCATGAAAGACATGGGCGAGGTGGCATATATTTTAGGAATCAAGATTTATAGAGATAGATCATAAAGAATATTAGGTCTCTCCCTAAGCATGTACATTGATAAAACGCTAAAGAGGTTTAGTATGGAAGAATCCAAGAGAGGACTATAGTTATGTTTTTATCGCTACATATGTATGAGATGCATTAGACATAAAGCATGTAAATGACTTAATTAATGGTGAGATATTAATAAAAACATGACTTGAATCCCTCAATGGTAAAATTAAGTCTATGAAAATGCCTATCGATTCTTGATACTCATCAAGGCCTAGATCGGTTAAATGCGTACTTACCAAAGTAAGGCACATAGCTTATCTTGGTGAGGCACCATTGGGTAAATAAGTGATATCCAAATTATCAACTATTGTGTTTTGACTTAATCGTCTCATGAGATGAGATTAGAGGCATAAAGTTGGGTATTAGTCCATTAGATGGATTATAGAAAGAATTGTTTACTCAACTATCCAAGATTTGCATAAGATTACAATTGTCAAGTGTATGTCTACCTAAATAGCCAAGTCTTGGGTGATCAACCAAAGCTAACTCAATATTAGGTGAAATATAGATCTTGGCCTAATAGAAAGTTTCAATAGTTTGACTTTTCAAATTAATAGTAAGGGCTATTGATTTGAATAAAATAATGAGAGGTTCATTTAATTAAAGGGCTAATTAAATGAATTTTATACATGATATTTATTCTTTTAAAAAAAATTATAGATGGCATTTAACATATCTAACGACCTATCTTTGCGATCCGTCCTCGAGATGGATAAGCCGATTGGGACAAACTTCTAGATTGGTATAGAAATTTAAGGATAGTCCTCAAATAAGAAAGGAAGTTGTATGTCTTAGAAGAAGCTATTCCCCCTACTCTTGCTAATAATGACCCTCGTGCTAAGAAAGATGCTCATAAGAAGCATCAATATGATGCTTTGGATGTCAATTGGCCTTATGTTAGCTATTATGATTTTGAACTCTAGAAGTAATATGAGAACATGAATTTCTTTGATAAGATTGATCATCTCAAAAGCCTCTATCAAGGGTAGGCACTTCATGAGAGTTTGATGTCTCTAAAGCACTATTTTAGTGCAAGCTAGCGAAGGAAACCCTATTGCTCCGTATGTACTCAAGATGTTTGGGTATGTTAAGAGCTTTAAAAGATTAGGCTTTCCTCTAGGCCAAGAGTTGACCACCGATTTAGTTCTCCAATCGTTTTTCGAAAGCTAT